TGAGTATATCATGCTAAACAATATGTCTGTTAGTGGGAAAAAAATAATGGGTACAATTACTGGTCATTTAATAAATTTTGGCAGTCTTTTTGGTATTCTTCCCAGAAACTGAGAAAGTGAATGATTCTCATAAATTAAGAAATAAAAAGTAAATGAATAAAAATTCACACACACACACACACACACACACACACACACACACACCCCTATTCCTTTTCAGGCCAGGTAGTTTCCAATTCTTTGCTTTCAGCAAAAGTGCAGAAGAGCCTAATCATACTGCTGTAAACAGTGTCAGTCAACTGATCGCTACAAAAATAATTTTTTAATAATAGATCATCAAGTGATTTTTAGCCTATAAGAATTAAAAAAAAAACAGTTTGACGTCCTCCTAACAATCTCACCTCTTTCAAGTGAATAAATCTTCTAGCTCTAACATTTATGAAAATGTAAGGCACAAATAGAAAATGTAAAACATGGAAAGAAATCTTTTAGTATGTGAGCCCTGATGGGTGTGAAAGGACTGTCTCAGCTCTGACAACCTGTGAAGTTCATTCTGCATCTGATGTCACTGTGAGAAGCCTCAGTTCACTTCTCATGGCCTGTGCTTCAACTTTCTTGGTCCCCATCTCCCACCCCGCCCCCTACTCCTGAGCACTGGGTCAGCATGAACGCCTCGTCCTTCAGCAGCAAAACACTCTGTATACTAAACCTCTTATCTGTATCCTCCCTTTGCTTTCTCGTCTGGACTAAAACATGGCCCCCTCCAGAGGACAGTGCTTTTCTGGAACTCTCTGGAGTGGTGGCTCTTGGTTCACCCTCATCGCATGCACTGTTGAGCTTGGAGGTGAGTTGGAGTCTCCTCCTCCTCCTTAATTGTTTCTTCCAGTCTGTTGTCCCCCGTCTTCCTTTTAAACACGCAGCATTGACTCATAGTCTTCAGACTATGCCACCTACGATTCTCATTACCTTCTGATCCCAGGGTTCTGCCCTTTATTTTTCAGTGAGTTTAGCTCCTGGCTCACCGCCCTTCTCTCCAGTTCTAGTTCTGTCTGATGTCTGGTGATTTCCATGTATATGTGGGACATATATATGGAAACATAGATAATCCTTTAATTCTTGACCTTCTAGTTCTTTGAATTCCTTTCCTCCAATGATTGTATCCTCTATTCTACTTTACACTTCAACCCATGGCCATACCCTGCCCTATTCTTTCTAATATAGCCCACTTTCTGACCTCACCTTTTATTTTTCCAGCTCATTCCCTCTGACTTCAACAAACTCTTGATGCTACCCGATATACTTAACTTAAAACACATTATTATATACTAGGAAGCGCAGGGCTGGAGGGATGGCAGGATGTCCCAGACCACAGCCCTGAGTGGTCTGGTGTCTAGTATTCAGTACAAAAGTAAGAGATTCATAGGCTCTACCTCAAAATTTCTGAATCATAATTTTTGGGGGCACAGGTACAGAAATCAGTTGTTTAAGTTTCTCTTATGGTTCTGATGCCGCTGGTGGGGGGGCCAGCTTTGAAACGTTTGTCTGCAGAGTCACAGCAGCAGTGCAAACTTTATGTATCATGCAGATGAGTTCTGAACTAAACTTGTTGACATTTGTGTCTCTGAGTTATCCAGTGCTGACTGCATGTAATTTTGTAAGTAAACAATGTACCTTACTACTTCTATAGAACACATAATAAAAGTTATTATGGAAAAAAATACATTATTATAATTCTTATAACCATCCTCACATACATTTGCAACTGTCTTCCCCCTCATATTAATGCCCTTTTAGGAGAATCAAGACCCTAAACAAACTCATCGTTACTTCTGCACCTAAACCCATGCAGCCAACCCTAAAGTGAAAAACAACACACATGCTGATAGTCTTACGGTCAATTTATGGCCACAAACCTTAAGTTGAACCACAAGGCTCCCTGACATTCATATTATGTTTTACATAATTTTTTACAACACTGCTTCCGCTTCACTGATAAAACTGAAGCAATCAGAAGGGAATGTCCATGTGCTCCCATCACATCGACACACCTATCAGCATCTACACCCACAAACCTTGCCTTCCCAAGTGTTTAATGAAAAAGAACTGTTCGTGTTTCTCTCTAAGGGCACTTGTGCAACAAACTTCATCCCAGTAGTCTACTGAAATATATTGTGTTGGTAATTCTCTCCTTTGTCTCTTGTGTCATCCATACTCCCCTCTCTAATGGGTTATTACCATCATCATACCATAAGGTACCTATTTCTCCAAACTTAAAAAAATCTTTTGATCTCCCTGCCTCTCTGCTCACCCCTTATATCAAAACTCCTAGAAATATTTGTTTCTACCCACTATCTTCAATTCTTGTACCTCTGTTTTCCTTAATCCCATGCCTAGAAAGATTTTGCTCTCAACTACTCCAACAAAATGACTCTTGTTTGTTTAAAGTCACAGTGACTTCAATGTTGCTAAATCCATGTTCTGAATTTGCAAATTTACCTACTTGATAAAATGTATTTATAACCCCCAAATCCATGTTCATTACACACTTGCAGTCATTCACAGACAATGCACTAAGCAGTGAAAAAAATATATTTTTTAACATCTTTATTGGAATATAATTGCTTTACAATGATGTGTTAGTTTCTGCTTTATAACAAAGTGAATCAGCTATACATATACATATATCCCCATATCCCTTCCCTCTTGCATCTCCCTCCCACCCTCCCTATCCCACCCCTCTAGGTGGTCACAAAGTGCTGAGCTGATCTCCCTGTGCTATGCAGCTGCTTCCTACTAGCTATCTATTTTACATTTGGTAGTATATATAAGTCCATGCCACTCTCTCACGTCATCCCAGCTTAACCTTCCCCCACCCTATGTCCTCTGGTCTGCGTCGTTATTCCTGTCCTGCACCCTAGGTTCTACAGAACCGATTTTTTTTAGATTCCATATATATGTGTTAGCATATGGTACATTTTTTTCTCTTTCTGAATTGCTTCACTCTGTATGACAGACTCTGGGTCCATCCACCTCACTACAAATAACTCAATTTCGTTTCTTTTCATGGCTGAGCAATATTCCATTGTATATATGTGCCACATCTTCCTTATCCATTCATCTGTTGATGGACACGTAGGTTGCCTCCATGTCCTGGCTATTATAAATAGAGCTGCACTGAACATTATGGTACATGACTCTTTTTGAATTATGGCTTTCTCAGGATATACCCCCAATAGTGTGATTGCTGGGTCATATGGTAGTTATATTTTTAGATTTTTAAGGAACCTCTGTACTGTTCTCCATAGTGGCTGTATCAACTTACATTCCCACCAACAGTGTAAGAGGGTTCCTTTTTCTCTACACCCTCTCCAGCATTTACTGTTTGTAGATTTTTTGATGATGACCATTCTGACTGGTGTGAGATAATACCTCATTGTAGTTTTGATTTGCATTTCTCTAATGATTAGTGATGTTGAGCATCCTTTCATGTGTTTGTTGGCAATCTGTATATCTTCTTTGGAGAAATGTCTGTTTAGTTCTTTTACCCATTTTTGGTTTTTCTCCTTCATCACTTTAAATATGTCCTGCCACTCCCTCTGGCTTGCAGAGTTTCTGCGGAAAGATCACCTGTTAACCTTATGGGGATTCCCTTGTGTGTTATTTGTTGTTTTTCCCTTGCTGCTTTTAATATGTTTTCTTTATATTTAATTTTTGATACTTTGATTAATATGTGTCTTGGTGTGTTTCTCCTTGGATTTATCCTGTATGGGACTCTCTGTGCTTCTGGACTTGATTAATTATTTCCTTTCCCATATTAGGGAAGTTTTCAACTATAATCTCTTCAAATATTTTCTCAGTCTCTTTCTTTTTCTCTTCTTCTTCTGGGACCCCTATAATTTGAATGTTGGTGCATTTAATGTTGTCCCAGAGGTCTCTGAGACTGTCCTCAATTCTTTTCATTCTTTTTCTTTATTCTGCTCTGCAGTAGTTATTTCCACTATTTTATTTTCCAGGTCACTTACCCATTCTTCTGCCTCAGTTATTCTGCTATTGATCCCCTCTAGAGGATTTTTAATTTCATTTATTGTGTTGTTCATCGTTGCTTGTTCCCTCTTTAGTTCTTCTAGGCCCTTGTTAAATGTTTCTTGCATTTTTTTCTATTGTATTTCCAAGATTTTGGATCAACCTTTACTATCTTTTACCCAGTTTTGGATTGGGTTGTTTGCTTTTTTGATATTGAGCTGCATGAGCTGCTTGTAAATTTTGGAGATTAATCCTTTGTCAGTTGCTTCATTTGCAAATATTTTCTCCCATTCTGAGGGTTGTCTTTTCATCTTGTTTATGGTTTCCTTTGCTGTGCAAAAGCTTTTAAGTTTAATTAAGTCCCATTTGTTTATTTTTGTTTTTATTTCCATTTCTCTAGGAGGTGGGTCAAAAAGAATCTTGCTGTGAGTTATCTCATAGATTGTTCTACCTATATTTTCCTCTAAGGGTTTTATAGTGTTTGGCCTTACATTTAGGTCTTTAATCCATTTTGAGTTTATTTTTGTGTATGGTGTTAGGGAGTGTTCTAATTTCATCCTTTTACATGTAGCTGTCCAGTTTTCCCAGCACCACTTATTGAAGAGGCTGTCTTTTCTCCATTGTATATTCTTGCCTCCTTCATCAAAAATAAGATGGCCATATGTGCGTGGGTTTATCTCTGGGTTTTCTATCCTGTTCCATTCATCTATATTTCTGTTTTTGTGCCAGTACCATACTGTCTTGGTTACTGTAGCTTTGTAGTATAGTCTGAAGTCAGGGAGCCTGATTCCTCCAGTTCCGTTTTTCTTTCTCAAGATTATTTTGGCTATTTGGGGTATTTTGTGTTTCCATAAAAGTTGTAAAATCTTTGTTCTAGTTGTGTGAAAAATGTCAATGGTAGTTTGATAGGGATTGCATTGAATCTGTAGATTGCTTTGGGTAGTATAGTCATTTTCACAATGTTGATTCTTCCAATCAAAAATATGGAATGGTTCAAGAATTTGCATATCATCATTGTGCAGGGGCCATGCTAATCCTCTCTGTATCATTCCAATTTTAGTATATTTGCTGCTGAAGCAAGCACTGAGCCGTGAAAAATTTGAGTCACTTGCTGTGCACGTTCCCAGCTGAGGTTGAGCAAGGCAACTCGCTTTCTTCTTGTTTCACCTCTCATACTGTAAATAAGTGTCCTTTTGTGGTCTATTTTGTGCCATGTTTTTTCCTTTTTTTGGTGTGGTTGGTGGTTTCACTGTTGAAAATGGAATTATCCCTTTATTTTCTGGCACTGCATATTGCTCTGGAGGCAGCTGTCAGAAGGCAGCCTGGATTTTCTTCCTTCATTTAAGGAAATTTAGCTTTAAAAATATCTTGGAATAATTTTTGTCTGCAATTTTTGAATTCTTTATTTCAGGAATATTTTTCATCCATATGTTGTATCATTTCTGCCTGCCCTTGATATTTATTACTTTATCTGTACTCATTTTATCTTTCCCTTTCCTTCCCTTTGCATTCTCTCTGGAAGGACTTTCATTTCAAGACTTTAAATTTTCAGCCATGTCTATTCTGTTTGGGCTGTTCTAATTATTTGTTCTGTAATGATACTGTTTGGGTGCTCTGTTGCCATAGTTCTGCAATCTCTCTTTTAATCTCATTCTGTTCTTTTGACATTTTGTCTTTAATACCTTTGTAAAAAATAGAATTCATGTTATTATCAAGTCATTCCATAGCCTGAAGCCCTTGGGGAATCTTCTTCTGTTCTTGGGTTATGTTTTCTGTCACCTGAATTATTTTTCTGTACTCTGTAGCCACACTTCCTTTATTGGTCTTTGAGTGATTGGTTTCCACAGTCACCATGACATGCCCACTTTGTCCCCTTGCTCACGCTAAGTGTGAGCAACTTTGACTGCCATGGGGAGGTCTAGGTAAATTCCTCTTAACATTTTTCCCATCTTTTGAGACATTTTTGGCTTCCACTCTGAGCTAAATTTGAGAGGTGTCATGTTCTTACTGCTTTTCAGTACCCTGGTGGCTCAGTCTGTCAAAAAGTTCAGCCAGAGTGGGTGAAGTTTTGCTGGAAAACTAGAGGTCAAGTCTTTCTTTCTTTTTTTTTAAAATTAATTAATTTATTTATTTTTTGGCTGTGCGGGGTCTTCATTTCTGTGCGAGGGCTTCTTCTAGTTGCAGCAAGCGGGGGCCACTCTTCATCGCAGTGCGCGGGTCTTTCACTGCCGTGGCCTCTCACTGTCGCAGCCTCTCTTGCTGTGGAGCACAGGCTCCAGACGCGCAGGATCAGTAGTTGTGGCTCACGGGCCTAGTTGCTCTGTGGCGTGTGGGATCTTCCCAGACCAGGGCTCGAACCCCTGTCCCCTGTATTGGCAGGCAGATTCTCAACCACTGTGCCACCATGGAAGCCCCAAGTCTTTCTTCTGAGATTAAAAAGGATACCCTATGTTAGAGAACACCACATATGATCAAGGGCATATCCTACTCTTGTGGGGAAATACCCTGTGTTTTCAATCATTCTCCTGATTTAGACTGGAATTCTGAAAAATGGTGAATCCAAGTACTTTTCTTTTCTTTTAAACATTATTTATTTATTTATTTTTGGCTGTTTAGGGTCTTGGTTGAGGCATGCGGGATCTTTCATTGCAGCACGTTGGCTTTTCATTGTCATGTGTGGGCTTCTCTCTAGTTGTGGTGTGTGGGCTCCAGAGCACGTGGGCTCAGTAGTTGTGGCATACAGGCTCAGAAATTGCCGCATGTAGGCTAAGTTGCTCCATGGCATGTGGGATCTTAGTTCCCTGACCAGGGATCAAACCCTCGTCCTCTGCATTGGAAGGTGGATTCTTCATCATTGGATCACCAGGGCAGTCCCACCCAAGTATTTTTTCTGCCTCTGTTGAGATGGCATAATGGTTAGGATCAACTTGCCCTGATTTCCTTATGTAAACCATGTAGCTAATAACATCATGGGGTTTTTATGAGTCTTAAATAGAATGTTGCATATAATGGCTTATCATCATGCTACAGATACCCAACATATGTTAGGTGTGATTATTTTATTGCAGTGAAGATTCTCTTCTGAGGGCCTCTCTTTACTTTTGCCCTGGGCTGCATACTCACCCACTCACTCTTTAATTCCACTTCTTCCCAAATGGGGTTGCATTCTTGGGGTTTTACAAACTTACTATATTTGCCTCATATCACTTTATTGAGGGTATGTATGGAGGAGGATGAGGTATATAGTATGAGCACAATGAATTATTTCCTTTATTGATTTCCTTGGAAACTACTTTAAAAAGTGTATGACATGAGGTCATATCCTATTTATTTCAGGTTGCTGATGGTGATAATTTTGTTGCTGATGTTAGTGTCAGTAGGTTATAGGGTGGGATATTGTTTATCTTCCTCCATTCATCATGTCTATCTAGAAGTTCAAACAGGATTAGAGACGTAGGGGAGAGAGGCAGGCCCTCGAGCAGGTGTCTGAGTGAGGGAAGGAGCAGAGGTAGAAATGGGTAAGAGGAGGTGGTGAAGGGCAGAGGCTGGTTAGCAATGAAGGGAATACTGGGTGATGAGCCATGGTAGGTAGGAGACTTAAGGATGGTTGGGGATTTTGGAGCCCAGGAGGAAGAACTGAAATTAGTGGTGGATCTAAGCTACTGATCTTCTATAAGACCTGGCTCTCCTGCCAGGTCACCTGTTGACATGATGTCTTTCCCAAGTGAACTTTTAGGCTGCCACAGCCACATGACCCAAAGGTTCTGACTGGGATAGACATGCACCTCTTGCTCTTTAGTAAAACAGAGACCACCAGGCAGGAAGGCAGATGCAGAAGATACCAAAGTTCTGTCTGCTAGGGATAGACATGGCTGAGAGTTCACCTGGTCCTATTAGTCTTAAGTTTTACCTACCTCTGAAATTTGGGGACCAAACAGCTCCAGGAGCCACTTCTAATGTTATACTCATAACCTGGGGCTCTAACATTGGTTTGGGCATCAGACAGAAAGACAATTAATTCCTGACTCCATTAGTACCATGACTTTGTTCACTAAGTCGAGTTAACTTTGCTCCTGAATCGAGAGCTTCCAAAGTCATTGCTGATCCATGTGTATACAGAGCCTGTGCTGAAGCCTCACACAATAGATGCTCCTTAATTAAATGAAGAAAAGATATATCAGTTTCACAGCACTCCAGAAGTTGGAGAATATCATTTGGGTCCCTTCCCTCCCTCCCTCCCTATTGCCCTCTCTAATTCAGCACCAACTTCTTCTCAAGGAGCTCGAATCTGCCAGCGGAATGAGGAATCATCTAGCAAGCAGGTTATTTTAAATCTTTAATAGACATATTACCTTACATTATGGCTTTATCATCCGCCCCTCAGTGTGAGCACCAATAGAACATCCATCACAATTAGCGTAACATCCCGAACACAGAAAAAAGACGAAATTGTGCAGCTAAGTTGGGTGTAAGGGAGCCCAGACTCTCTGACTGGCTTTCTGTTAGACTGTGGGCACACAGCCAGGCCTGGATGTGGCTTTCCCACGGACCAAAAAGGGGAGTAGGGTGTGCTCTTAGCCCAGAGTGCTGTTCCTGTTCATCCTCCTCCAGAAAGACAGAGCCTTCCAGCACTGAGCTGAAGCTGTAGCTGTAGCTGTCATTTACAAAGTTCTAGTCTCACTTCTATTACTGGCCAACCTGAGGCCACTGGCCAAAACTTGGAGTCCCATGTCCAGAACAATCAGATAGGAACAATTTATTTACTGAGCCAAATCCTGCATTAGGCTCTTTTCACTTTTGTTAGCTCATGGAAGCCCTGTGATCACCATATGAAGTAGATATTATTATTCATATTTTTATGAAGGAGAAAACTGAGGTTTAAAAATGTTCTGAGACTCATACCCTGGGAAGTCTATTTCCAAAGGTTATTTTCGTAGAATGTGGTCACTGGACAAGACAAGTGTGCGGAGTACTGAAGCGAGGAGGAGGTGAGGAGATGCTGTTCCAAGCTTGGAGGCGAGAGGGACGTGCCATTCAGGTGTGAGTGGCACCTTCACTTGCATGTAATCCTTCAGAACGCCCAACGAACCACTGCATGCCTCTTGTATTGTTTGCATGTACATGTATGTGTGTAATTACTTATCTCTCTTTTGGGCTCATGCAGAGTTGAGTTACTCCTACTTTTCAGCTCTCAGCACTGTCTACATCATTCAGCACAAGGCCCCTCTTACATTTATTTCCCCTTATTCAGTCCCTGATCCTCACTTCCATCCCCCTCACCTGCCTAGTTGTCTAACTCTGTTGTACTGGATATATATCCTTTTAATATTGTGTACATGTTTTTGGTTAATGTAACGGTATTTTGTTATAGACCTCACTTTGCTTTTTAAAATTTTTTCCCTTACTTTTAGGCTTTTAGATATAAACACATTTGCTCTGTGAGCATCAAACGCACTCGGTGTTAACTTCTGTGTGCTGGGAAGGTATGTATCCACACATTTTGCTCATCCTCAGCCCTGGAGATAGACACTATAGCTCACCTTCAACTCCTGGCAACTGCACACAATACAATGGCTCAATGAACACAGCATCCTTGGCCCCTAGGGATTTGCACCAAACTTTATTGGCCATTCTCCATTGTTTGCCTTCCTACCATCATCTCACTTGTTTAACTCCTCATCATCTCTTGTCTGGGTCCTTACAAAGGTCTCTGCCTCCTACCTCTCTTTTTTTTTTTACTTAAAAAAATTTTTTATTGGAGTATAGTTGCTTTACAATGTTGTGTTAACTTCTGCTGTACAGCAAAGTGAATCAGTTATGCATTTACACATATCCACTCTTTTTCAGGTTATTTTCCCATATAGGCCATTACAGAGTATTGAGTAGAGTTCCCCGTGCTATACAGTAGGTCCTTATTAGTTATCTATTTTTAAAAATAGATCTTTATTGGAGTATAATTGCTTCACAATACTGTATTAGTTTCTGTTGCACAACAAAGTGAATCAACCACATGCATACATATGTCCCCATATCCCCTCCCTCTTGAGCCTCCCTCCCATCCTCCCTATCCCCTCCATCTA